CTGATCCACTCTGTCTGCCTAAAATAAGTCTCCTCACCTCACACCTGCTCAGATATGTCGCTGGCTCATTTATTGCCTTGCCGTTGTTGATCATTCACCTCTATTTGTGTTTTTTTTTGACAATTGTTTCTCTGAGACTCCTTGAGGTATTTCATCGAGGTGGAACACAATGCAGTGTGCGTCGAAGCCACCAAAGCACCAACCTGTGAGCTAATGAGAGGCCCCATGCTGTTATCTAAGGCTCCGGCTTCTCTACCACTGCTGCACTTCTATCAGGGGAGAGAACACACACCGGGCTACCGTTCACATATGTTGCACGCGTACGTTCTCTAAAGGAGGTTTACCGGGGATGCAAAAGCTCACAGAAGCCTCCATCTTACATACAGTAGCCCCCATGTATCCTTCTGCACTCACACAAGCGCACAACAGACAGAAGTAAAGGATTCGATGGCACCAAAGACCGCAATAAAACAAAGGCGCAAATGACACCCTCCTGCGACAGTCCCAACTGTAGCTGCTTCTCTTTGTCTGATAATATATCAGATGTATTAAAAAGGAGCACTTAATTGAACAACCTCTCCCAGTTTGTTTGTGTTAAAGGAGAGTAGAAGATGCTAGACAACAATTTGTGTGTGTGTGTGTGTGTGTTTCGCTTTGTGCTTTGCTGTGCATGTCTGTGTCTGTGTGTGTGTGTGTGTGTGTGTGCGTGTGTGTTAAACCCCTGCCGAGCAGAGATGCATTATTTAAGATGCTGTTGTGATACTTGTGCCTGCTTAAAGGTCTCAGCTTCCTTTTAACGCCATGCCGCATCAGCCCACCTCTGCCCCCACTTGTGGGGGGAACCAGAGTGGGGCCTGCTGGCGCTGGTCCACACATCACCTGGGAAAATATCACAGCAGGGGAGGAGAGGAAGTGAAATAGATAACCTTTGAGTTTAGCACACATTTTTGTGAACACACATTTTACTGCTCCACTTCATTGTCACTTCTGTGCTGACTTTAGAAATATTTTTTTACTTATTTATTTATTTTTACAGGATGTTCATTTTAGATCATTTTATACTCACCTTAGTTTTATTTGGATTTTCACATTTTGTGCATCCCTAGAGCAACCGGGAGAGGAAAATGAAAGGACTGGATGTCAGTTTGAGGCAATCACATGGCGTTAGACATGAGAGTTATTAAGTCTAACTTGCCCAGTTGCTCACCTGCTGGTGAAAAACCTTGTAATGGAGCCTAGTACTATAAATTGAATGTGGTTAATTACTCTTCATGCTATGCCACCAGCCGTGTGTGCAGGGTGAAAAGGAAAAGCTTGGGAAAGTAGAGGGAAAAAGCGTCTGCAGAGGAACTTCAGGGCCCCTCATTACACTCTGCCCCTGGGTATTTTTACGCCTTTTATTTCCCATCTAATGAACTGTTTACATTTTTTTTTTCTGCTTTCTAGGCGCCACAATTATTCGACTTGTCCTTGTGTCACTCGTTGCACCAGGCAAAAAGCAAGGAGGAGAGTTGGAGGGCATTGAAATGTGTATATGGATCTCAGTTTGTTTCATTTGAATTTTTCTGAGAAAGTTTTGTTTAATATTACAGAGACCTTAATTGGAGACTGATTTGAATTTATTTTGAAAGGTCATATTATTATTATTATTATTATTATTATTATTATTATTATTATTTTATTATTTTTTTTATTATTTTTTTTTACAATTAATAACGTGTTTTTCTGTGAGTAGTTTATGAAGGAATTAAGAGTCGTCATGTTTATTTAACAAAAGTATACCATTGCATGCTCATAGACTATAAAGGAATTGTACACAAATAAGATATCCATGTATTGGTTATAATTGAATTAATATCATTTGCTGCTCAGAGGATTATGCTGAACTGATTAGCATATCTGATATGAATTGTTATGCGTGCATATGTAATTATGTTTTGATGAGTAAAGAAGAATACTTTTTTTTTTTTTTTTTCTGCTATCCATGTCAACAGAGGTAAAACGTGTGTTTTTGACAGGACACCAGCACCTCCATCGCCTCATTTGACGGGATGCGTGGAGTTTTTAAAGGCAGGCCACTTTGCATAAAGTTAAGATGTACCTTTTGTACTTTTCTTGTGTGCTTCCGGGAATAGAAGCAAATTCTCACCCAAGATAAAAAAAAAAAGTGACAAAAGACAGACCTTTCAAAAGGATTTAAAAAAAGCTCTTTTCCCCCCCCTTTTCTGAGCAATAAGGTATCTTCTGAAAGCACGTATTCTTTTTTAGATTACAAAGCCTGATTAGTTGGTTTCGTCTTAAGATGCGGAGCTCTGTCTCCACGTACTGTAAATAGATTGAGTTAGTTTTAGAGCTTTTTTTTTATTATTATTAATGGAAAATAAGGTTTTTACAATAGACCAGATATCTCCTTTCTGACCTCGAGACTGTGCCTGTTGTCACTAAACACCCAAACTCATAATCAAAATCTGTTACTGTATTAAGCAGTCAGTATTGCACCTGCTTATATTTTACATCAAATGGGAAGGCAGTAGTCACTTAGGAATCTGTTGTTTTCCAGAGGGGGAATCCAAAAGCTGGAGTGTGTACTGTAGGTACAGGGAAAGTAGCGGCAACACTTTCATTTCAATGACATTTTCCATTCTTTATACTTTCTTTGTTATCTACTCTGTTCTCATTGCAGAAACCCTTCATACATTCATCCGTAACAAACAGCTATTTAGAAATACCAAAAAAGCCCTGCATATGGTTTGAAGGCGACGTAAGCCTCAACATTCAAATCAATGCTTCTCCCAGGCTTCCTCGTCTCAATTACTGGTGAAGTCGTCTTTCCCCCTAAGTTGCACTGAAGCTCTTTAAGATGAAACTCGACTTAAATGGAATATGTGGGTGTTTTTCCTGGCAAAAAAAAAAAGTGCGCGTGTGCCTGGTGTACAAGTGTACATGCTGTCGTTATATTGTCTTTATTGTCTTTCTGATTTTAACAAATCTGGAATTCCTTTTTCTTGTGCTTACACTTGCACTAACTGCAACACAGTGACCATTCAGTTACCCTGGTGTAGAAGGTTTACAATGCTTTACAATGCTGGAATGGATGGGTTTTGTTTTGTTTTTTGTTTTTTTTAAAGGTGACAAAATATGGTTTAAATTATGTTTCAAATACATAAACATATGCATTAGTTATTTAAATAAAGGATGACAAGCTTCAGATGACAGAAAATAAATCAGAAACGATCTCATTAATTATGCTCTCATGACCATTTAAATAGCGCATGTTTCGCCAGTTTATCTTGAACTGGCTGTTCCAGTTCATTCAGCATTAGAGCAATTAAGGTAAAAGTTAAATAATACTCAAAAACCAACTTTAACAGCATCTTTTGACAGAGTGCTCCTTTATACCGGTGTGTGTCTGTGTTATTTCAGACTGTGCTGCCAGTCTTTTTCTTCAGTAGGCGTTTAGTGGTTAGGTTAGGTCCCCGTGGTTGGCTATTGTTTGGGTGCGCTCTTTATGGGTTTTGTGGTCTGGATTGTCTATCTAGTCAGTAATTACTCCAGAGAACTGTGGCCCTCACCATCACGATAATAACAAATCACATCAGCGAGGAGTTTCCACTCAGTGCTCCAGATTAGGAGGAGAGACAAATAAATAAAATCAACCGGCTCAGTTTTGATTGGTTCCAAAGCTATTTCAATCAAGCAGCTTGATATCATCACTCCTGACGTTCGAATTGGCATTTTCAAGTTTGGTTTGTGCTTTTTGTCATGGTAGGCACCATTAAAGTGCTTAGTGCTATAGCTTCTTTAAACTTTTACTGTTAAGAAAGAGAGGAGGAAAGGATAGTGCCTTTGAGGGGGGAAAAAATGTCCCCACCAGGTAATTGGTGTTCCTTTGCTTATTCCCCGACTTTTGTTTTATTTACTTAGTCAATTACAATATAAATATAGAAAAATTGAAAGAATTTGTGCTGAGGAAAAGTGATATTTTCATTCCTCTGCTGGTGTTTGTCTTTGATTTTGCCCACCTCCTGCAGCCCACCTAGAAACCCTGTCAAGGCGGTGACAGAAAGCGAAGGAGGCTTAGTAAACACTTTCTGTGTCTGCTGCTGGTGTGTATTTAGTTTAGAGGGCATGCCAAGAGGCTGTTTTTCCATGGGTCGGGTGTCTGTAAACAAGCAGTACAACGGCAGCCCACTCTTCCACAATCGGAGGTGGCACACTCTGAAGTGTGTATGAAATGTGTGTGTCTGAGTGTTTGTCTTTTTGGGTGTTTTTTTTCTTGGGTGGGGGGGGGACATGGATTCCCTCTTATTCTAGCCTATCTGGAGACAGAGAAAGAGAGAGCGTGAGAGAGAGTTTGTGTGCGTGTGTGTGAGGGAGAGAGAGGCAACCCCAAATCCGATGGGCCGCCAATGGGTGATGAATTATTCCCTGTCTGAGTCACAGCATTGGTGTTATCACAGAGCCTGCCACTGCACTGGGATGACAGCAGTGACAGCCCCTAGAAAAGATTTAGCGCTGACAAGTGATACTTCCTCATAATACATCTCCCTGGCCCTCTACCCTGTCCCTGGTTCCTCAGCCTCTCCCTGCACACAGGATGGGCTTTTTTTTTATCCCTCAACTTGTATTTGTTTAAGTGGGCAAGGTGTATATGTGTGTGTGGTTGGGGCTCTTTGCCACCACCGCTGTGGCATAAGTGCATGAGGTAAAGTCGATCACCTTGGAAGGAGGCATAGGCACAAACCCCGAACACTGCTTTGTTGCTGGTACATGTGCTGTAAGGGCAAACACACACATATACACACCCTCCATGTTTGATTCGGTTTGTCACCGAGTTCCATTAGGGGGCTCTCGTGTTTAAGGAATGCCTGTTGTGTTTTTGCATCAACAACAGTACTAAGCAATATTTCCCCACTTGTTTTCTCTTTTTGCTCTCCTCTTTTTCTTCCTTCTTCTTTTTGTCCTTCTTCTTCTTCCTCCTCCTCTTCCTCCTCCTGCAGAAAAGGTCACGCATTGCCTACAGTGATGAGGTGCGCAACGAGCTCCTGGGGGATGATGCCAGTTCTTCGGAGAGCCAGGTAAGGTGTTAATCAGGGGCCCAAATGAGACCAGTGTGGGTGGCTGACTGGCCCCCAGGGTGGGGAGGTGGGCCCCATCGTAGCAGCCATCGAGAGCTGAAACCACACCATTGTCACTAAGCCATGCGGAAGTAACACTGTTTAATGCAAAGCTGGGCTAGCAGTGAGCGGGCTCGGGGCATGGGACCGGTGTCTGGACACAGCCAGATTGTGACCAACGCACACAAACACAAGCAGTGCACCTAAACACAAATACACACTTAAACACAGATTTCAATCCAAAACCCCAGCCTCCCTGCTCCAACCGTCCCACAGCTGTTCTCCAGCCGGGTACGGACTTAGGATCATAATAGATCCTCATGATCAAGACACACACAAAGACATACACACCCACACAAAAATGAACACACAGCCGCTAAATCTTACTCTCTTGTCTTTTTGTGAACTCCAGTGGTGAACGATGCGTTCCCTTACTGATGACTGAAAGAAATTGAAAAAGTACTCAATAAAAGTTATTTAGTCACTAAATAATTTGATCATGTCAAGCTTCAAACAGAAATCTTTTTTTTTTTTAATGGCCCTTTTAATCGTTTTATCTGTTAGCTATCAGTGTATTCACAATTGTTTGGGTTTGTTTTTTTTTTGTTTTTTTTATGTGCTATCAGTCCAGCCTGTTGAATCTGGGGATGTAAACAACATGAGCACATGAGCAATTTTCCTTTAACGTCAGCAATATTTACAAAAGATTTTTTTTACACCAGTTTTGAGGGGGGTTTGTATTAAGAAGACATTGCAGTTTTAATTAGCTAAAAATATACCACACTCTTTAAACTTAATTTTAAATAAATTGCTTCCAGTCAAACAGTAATACATCAGCAGCACTGCTCACAGCTGTACTCAGCCACTCTCAACTATGACAAAATGTCTTTTGACTAATTATATATTGCCTTTAGAGTCAGCTGTCTTCTTGCAGAGGTTACTGTGTCTTAACGCGCACACACACACACACACACACACACACACATGCAAATAAATGCTTTCCACATACTAAAAAGAAGAAAGATGAATACATATGTGCACATTTAGTTTCACAGCGCTATGCGAGTATATTTAGATGATTCACACCCAGGCAAAGCTAAATAAAGTTGTCTGGTTTTTTTTCCTCGTTTTTTTGAACATTTCCATATTACCATTTCAATGATGACCCATGAACCGCGCATCTTAGAAACATATGTATCACGAGCCTAGATGTGTAATTGATATGCATATTCTTGGCAAATTAGCGAGACACAAAAGTGGCTCCGACATTTTATGCAGAAGTTAGAAGGAGATTTGCTGTCAGAAATGCCACATTTGAGACTCTGATGGGTCCTATCAAAATCTTGTCAAGGAAAAGCTGAAAATCCAGATCCAATTTCATTTCAAATCTTATTTCCCCTTCATTAAAAATGTATCTGAAATATTTAAAACGAATATTTGTAAATCTGAAATGTATAAATCTGAGAGGAAAATAATAAAGAAAAAGTTTAGGATTAATATTGTGGCATAGTACTATAAATTTACATTATAGGATTTTGAAAGCTGATGTTGGAATTTAATTAATAAAAATATTCTTGCTTTTATATTATTTAATATAATTGTATTTCCAAGTTAAGATAAAATATGTGGCTTTAATCCATGCATGTACAAATAACAGTAGCAAAGCGTGACATTTAAATACATGAACAAATCCAGCCATTATTTTTTGATCCTATTTAATAATAACATAATCATATATATATTAAAAATCACAAATCCACATATATAAAATAAAATTTAGATTATTTATTAATTTTAAATTAAGAGGAAGACATTTTTAACTTGGGGAATTTAGGTCAAACATGATGCCCTTAAAAAATGAGCCAAAATATGTGATTTATTACTCTTCTTTCATTGTATATTCACAAAATGTATTTGTTGAATAGACTTCTGGGACTTAAAATGTTAAATTTTTTATTTAAAAAACTCTTTAATGAATGGTGATAATGTCTGTTCAACTTTAAAAATTCAAAACTAATCTAAAACTGTCACATACACACAAACACACACCTAGAAAGGCGCGCACACGCACACACCCATACAAAGCCGAAGAAAGAGTTCATCTCGGGGGCAAAAGCAAAGTAAATAGATGATGTACATTTATCCTTTTTCTTCCAGGTGCCGTATTTGCCTCATTTTCATTTAAAAACTTGTGGAGATAATACTTGTCTTGGTCTTGCTGTGAGTGGAGTACTCGCAACTTCAGGGTTTTTTTTTATCTAACGAGACGGCGGTGATAGGAGAGGGGAAAAGATGGTGGGGGCCGGGGCAAGTCGGTCAATTTAATTCCTGACGATCTGAAAGAGGTCAGGATCATTTCATATAGCCCTGGCTGAGCAGATCATTACCAGTCACAAATCTGTTGGTTACATGGCAAGGATTTATAGCTAAGTAAATAGGGAACCGTCATAAGTTCTGAAAATGGCGTGTTGGCCCTGCGATAATGGCTAAAGGACGATTTAATAGAGTTCGGCATTTATTCGTTATCTGTATGCGGACAGAGACTGAATTGGCACTATCACTCATTTTTTTAATAATGTGGTAGGCTACCATTGCACATTTTTTTTTCCCTTTCTGTTTCCTCTGCATGCAACACACGCGCACACACACACACACACGCACACACTGTCAGCACACACAGACGCCACACACAAAGCAACAAATGCGCACACATTTTTCACACACGAACACTATACGGAATAGTTTCGATTTCAGTCACAGCAGAAGGCTTGGCCACAAGAGATTGTGCTGGTTTGAGCCGGCATGGACCAGATTTTACAGCCTACAAAGGAAGCAGATTACCACTTGTATCGAATTCCGTATTGGATAAAAAAAAAAAAATCTTTTGTTTGAAAAAAAAAAAATTGCTGATTATCATAACAGAAAAATTGCAGCAGTGCAATTTTGAATACTGGCTGGCATCACAAAAACACAAGGAGCTACGCTCATGCAGGAGTAATTATACCATTTACAATATTCTGTATTTACTGCTGTATATCTCTCGAGCAACACGAGCATCACTGGCCAGAATAAAGAATGGATGCAAAAGAAAAAATAAAGCTAAACAGGAAGAAACGAGAAAAACAGCTCACCATGCCCCTCATATAGTTTTAACAAATCCTCCACAAGGACTTGCAATCAGTCAGGCAGCACAAATGAGCTAGAACAAGTTTTGTTTGGTATCCATTGACTGATGGCAGAGCTGTGGTGAGGGATCGCAGGATCTGATGGGGTTTTTTTCAAGCCCCAAATAACCACATTCACAGTGTCGTTTTAAACTTTGGCCTCTTCAATAATGCATTCTTAGCGGGAGTTGTTGCTTAAGTTAGAAAAGAGTGTTTCCTCACTAAGGTGCGCCTTGTTACTGCCGACATTTTCAAGGGTAAGAGCTCTTTATAAAAACATGGAGGTATACTTGTTTACCTCCCACATTACAGATATTGACAATATATTTTTTTTATTTGCACTACTCACTGAAATGTCACAGACATATACTTATGATAAGCAAAAATGATGCAAGAACTGTTTTTGACATGCTTCTAAAATTACAGTGGGATATGCTGTGGCAAATGCAAGATTATAATGTGTGAGTTTCTTTATTTTTCAGTCAGTTTTTGTCGAGCACAGACTCATCCTGAATTCATTATTTATGACAAATTTCTTTGACTGTGTTTACTAGTTTTGTTATAAATACAGGAGAGGGAAATTTAGGGAGTGCAGTATTGTTTGTTTGTTGTTGTTGTTGTTTTGAATTTTGGTATAAGATAAATGTTAAGTCATAGTTTTAATTTAAATAGATTTTCCTCCTATATTGTTCACAATGATCCCAAATAAATAGTTTGAGTAATTGTGGCCCTAAGTCTCCTTTTTCAGCTACTACCTTTGTAATAGTGACCAATTAAATATTAGATTAAATTAATTAAAATCACTTTAAAAGGCTAACACATCAAAAATGCGTCCTTCCTCTTTCTCTTCCAAATGTGCTGCATTCCTACGTGAAGCCTTCCTCCTCTGCAACCCTAACTTAAGAACAGGCCAGGGAACCAACCTTTTAATTGTGATTGGGCATAATTAATGGCAAATGGGATTACTGCCCTCCCTTACATGTCTGTTTCATTATCAGAGATGCAAGAATTTCCAGGACAGGGAATAGGAATAGCATTTCTTATTTACTTCACTTTAAATTTGTTATTCTCTTTCATGAAAAATGTATAGCTATGCTAAGATTCATTTTTCATGATCTATGGTTGTCCTCATAATAAGCAGTACTGTATGTATACACAATTGTAGCCTTACATGGCTTTCCATGCATACGCTGAACAATCTGCACCTTTAATGCGATTGATAACAGACATTAAATATTGACAGCTTACCAGCATTGATAAACAGCGATGCAAAATAATGTGCCTCAGCATTTTTATAACTCTGTTCCAAAAGGCACACCGTTTCCTTTTTTTTGTTCGTTTTGCAGAGAATTGCACAGTGACAGATGAGAAAATTTCGCTCAACATTTAATCTTACTATAAATGTGCAAACCAGATTTTACTCATTCTTTCTTTTCTCTCGCTATATCAATTTTTGTAATGTGACTTCCTTGATAATCTCGGTTGATTCTGCGAGTCGAACGATCCATTCCCTGTGCTTGTTTAATGTGACAGCAGCAGGACTTGATCTTTGTTTGTTCAAAAAAAGTCAGCCCAAGCGGCGTGTTTAGCTCCGTTTAATGTGTTTGTCTTGTGATTTCCAAATGCTAAACATGCAAACAGATAAATCGTCAAGGTTAATTCTCTATCCAGCCATATGACTGTTTCTGCTTTTTTTTTTAATCTATCTTTCACTTTCTCCATCCTTCTTTTCTTCTCCTTTTTGCTCTCACGATGCAGTTGGTAAAGTTGCGTGAAGAGGTAAGTGCTTTTCTGATCTAAGAATTTAAGTTCTGCTTTCCGTATGAAACTACCTATTTGCCCTCCTTTCTTTGTTAGAAAATTAGAACCACTCATTTGGACACTTTCTGGATGTCTGATTGAACAGTTTAGAGGCCGAACCGCAGATAATGAATTTACTTAGGGCCAATCCCTCAAGTTCCCCCTCCTATAAATATCCGGAAGTGAAGATGAGATACTATTTCTGATGCAGTTGTTTAAGGGCAAATATTAGGGAATCAAACTCAGAGTTCCTTCAGTTATTGGGACCAACAACTTTCAAGAACTTGATCAGCTTTTGAGTTTTGATTTCATTTGGTCTTTTGATGATGATGTTGAAGAGGACTAACTAACACATCAATCCAAAATCTGCCAGAGGTGTTAATCTGGGCTGAAGGAATTCTGAAGACTATAGCATATGATTCACATCCTTTTAAAACTCATCAAGCCATCCACTGACCCTTGTTTCCATAGACTGTATGCAAAAGCCTTAAAGTTAAAGTGACAATATTCACCGTGGTATTAAATTGGTTGGATTTAGTACACACATGCCCCCATCTCACTTCCTTCTCTCATATACAGTAAACTTTTATTGTAGTGACCAATTCGATTTTGTACCAGACAATAATAATGTTTAGTTCTTCTGCAAAGTTTGATATGGAAGTACAATGACTTGATTTTGAAGCTGGCCTCAAGTGGCCATTTGAGGAACTGTAGTTTGAAACTTTTAGTAGAAAGGTTGTGGATTATCAGCCTTTATAGCATATCAATGTACAAAACAGCTAAACTGTTGTTTCAGGATAATTCAAAGGTCTTTTGAATCTTGAATCGTATTCAGCTTAATACATTCAAACAAAATGGCAGAGGAGTGGACAATAATGTGGAGGTTTTAATAGAAACATAGCGTCTCAGAAATGGAGGGAGTGTGCTTGAAGAATTTGATCAGTTCTTTATTCCACTCTCTCAGAAATCTTGCTATAGTGCTGACACCCCCCCCACCTGCTGGAGAAAATGTGGAAACCAAATTGCAAACCACAACATTTTTTTTTCTGGATTGTCAAGTTATTAAAGGGAGCTTTAGAGAGCTACATAGTGCCCTGCAAGATCATTTTAATTGTGAATTCTCCTAGAAACTAAGTTTGTCTGTATAGATCTGCTTTTATTTTCACAAATGTATATTTATGTTTATTCTTTCTTCCCTCCTTGCCTCCTTTGGTTCCTGCATATCCAAATATATTGTATATATAGGATTGTACGTTAATAATAGTAGCAATGATGATGATAAAAAATGAATAAAACATTAACTGCATGCAGAAACTAGCATCTTTGTTAACTTGTTGTTTAACTCATTAGCTTACCATTTGAAACTGTATGGTATTGATATATGTAATTATTATAATGATATTTTAAAGAGGTGACTTATCAATAAATACTATATTATTCATAACAATTGTTCAGCTTGGTTAGCAATAGTAGGTGTTAATATCACTGATGTTAGAATTATTTTAATAGTTTTGTTAATTGCGACGCAGATCCTGTAAATAAGTATAATTCTGAGTATAATTCTTATAGATTTGCTTTAGTTTTCTTTTTTATTTGATTCATTTGATATATAAAGTTCTACTGGGCTGTCTCAAACATCTATCACTGTGCTTGAATCATGTTATTGTTGTGTATATCGTCTTATTTACTGGAGTATCGATACTTCAGGTTAAATTGAAATGTCTTATAACTGTTTAATTACATGTCTAGCCTTTAGAGTTTGACTTTTCTTGGACTGCCCAGTAATGCTACTAATGGTAGGTTCAACATCAGCTTACCTTAATTTGAATGTAGTCATTGTCTCATTGTTGATAAAAAGATATTATACACATATTTAGCTTTAGATTGTGCATGTATTCTTAAGTCTATATAAATTGTATTTAGCGCTCAAAGAGGCAGGTTCTTGAGTTATTGTAGGTTACATTATATTGTTGTCCTGCCCTGAACTCGTCTTTGTAGCTATAGTTACAGTATGTTGTTAAATGTGCCTTCGAGTGAGACTTTATTCAAGAGGGATTCTGAAGACACAGAGTAATTCAGTTCCTATCAAAGCATCTCCATTCACACCTATCCATAATTTAAAGTGCCAGCTTGGCCCAGATGCCATGTTATTGTGCTTTTTTCCCTTTTATTTAGCTTTACTTTTGTTTCCCCTTCTTCTACCGACTTTTTTCAGCATTTCCTCTTAGCCCGAGGGTCAGAAGACATCTTGAGTTACCTCACCTGTCTACCCTATTTGGAATGGTCCAGTCTGTGTAATCGGGCTTGAATCTTTGCCCTCGTCGCCATTGCAGTCTTTTACCCTTTTGCTCTTCCTGCATTTGAATCAAAGGCTGGCGCAGCTTATACACACTTAAGCCTTGCTTTTAAAAAACTGCACTTTTTTCTTCAGCTGAAAAACATGTTTAAATATTTAGCACCCATATTCACAGCTGTTTGACACTTGTAATTCCTCGTCTTACAAGTCCCAAACAAACGGCAGAGAAGATCACACAGTCAGTCTGAATCACAGCTGTCATCATTATTCACTTTGACTCTCCCCCACCCTTATTGAAATAATAAGGAAATCATCTGAACTTTGGAAAATGGTGATAGTAACCGCCTGTGTTTGATATTGAAAGAAGGCAGGAGAAGGAAAGAAGAGGGGAGAGATTTCTTTTGAGCTACAGCTGCATTGTTCTGGGGCTCCCTGTTAATAACTTACAACTGAAGAGTGTTTCTTGACGCAAAAAAGCACAACAGAAAAACACCATTTTTGTGGTTCCTAAGAAGATCTTTGTTCAAAAATGTAGGTGTCAGATGAAAAGGCATACATACATAGGTAGGAATGGTGGTGGTGGTGGCGGCGGGGCGCACTGGTGCACTCTCAGATGCACAATATTTATCATATATTATATTTTAATCTTTTGCTAGAAGGCTCCATGAGAGGATCAGGTATGATTTGTGCTCTGTGCATGTCTTTGCCTTGTTCTCAAGGTTTTTACAGTGGTTATATGAGAACCGCAAGGGTCAAGTCTTGAATTGGGACAGTGTAGCAGACCAGCAGCAACTTTGCATTTCTCTCAGTAAAAATTGCTGACAAGGATTGCTTGCTTGCTGCAGAATAAAAACAAATGGTTGAAAACCTGAACAATTTCACTATTTTTGGTCCTGCAACATTGGAGCAATATTGCATGACTGTGAGAGATACTGCATTGTAATTTGTATCTCTTTATGTATAATCTCTTTATCTGTGTTGACTGACTGTGGCAATGCAGTGAACGATCTTTAGTTTAATTTGTACACGTTCCTTTTCATTATTTTCCCTGGTATCATCTTGTGTCCGTGGCTGGATTGTTCCATTATTAGGGCTATCATAGTCTGCCATTACTGGATTCTTAGTGGCTGAACTTTAACCCTTTCCTTCAGGTTCTGTCACTGTGAAACTCAGGATGCATTATTCTAATGATCACACACACACACACACGTATACTACCACTGCCACCACTACCAACCCCCCCAGTGCCCCCCCTCCCTCCCCTCGCCTCCACCTCACACACCCAACCCTCCCCCCGGGCCTAAAAGAAGACAGAACGAGGGAGAGAAGAGACACAGAGAGAGAGAGAAATTCAGGAGGATAAAGCTTTGAAGTGGCTTTCCATCGCAGCGAGTCTGCCGGCCGTCTCCCCGAGACGTGTCACCTTTGCCGAGAGGGAATAGGAAAATCACGTTTCGAATGGTAATGATAACATACTAATCACTTGAGCTCTTTGAAGAACCCAGGGAGTGCGCTACTCTGTCAGTATCCCTGGCTGCCTCATGCTCCCAGGCACACACAGGCACTGCAGCCGTGGTCTAGGTGTATTAGCTTAAGCGTTGCATGTCAGTGCGTCCCCTGCATCGCAGCTGATCCATAGGGGCTCATTATAGCCCAAGCTTGGTATCCGTTTTCTCCCACATGTATACTGACACCATATCTGTTGGTGCCACTACCACTTCCACGCCACCTCCAAACCCCTTCTACCGCAACCTTTACCAAAACCACACCACACCTTGCATCCAGCACCGCTCGCCGTCTACTTATCAGTTTCCTACCGCAAGACCATTTTATCACTCAACCACCCAACCCGTTCTCCTATCGCGCCATCCCTCCCCTGCCCTCCCTTTAACTATTAAAAAGTATCTCTGCAATTTTAAATGACATCTGTCAGCGGCACAAAGAAAAAGGAAACGAGGGAAAGAAAAGAGTTCAGAGGGAGTTTTCTCCTCCCTGCTCTTTTCCCATCCCTTTTGTTGTCAAAGTTTGAAAAGTGTGTCGTTGACTTTTTTTTTTTCTTCCCCTCCACATTTTTCATTTCCTCTGAGTGATTAGCTGGTACACATTTTGACAGCCAAACCAAAACTAGAGATTTCACTTCTTTCCCTGTCCCCTTCACTCATGTGATGGGCGTGAAACCCTTGTCAGATGGGCGGCTGTCATTCATTGGGTTGTTTTCCGGTGTCAGATGTGTTAAATCTGATCAGTTTCTTAAGGTTGCGCATTAGAAAAGCCGTCACAACCAACAGCATTCAAGTAAACATTTAAGTCTTCCATGTTTATGCTGTTTGATTGCAGTGTGGGTTTAATGAAAGCTCGGTCTTATGTTGGTTTTGCACATGAAGTATCTCAGTTCAGTGGATGATGAGGGGTTGTTTTTAGTATGTATGTAAGTGCATCTTTATATGTTATAGGTGGCTGGTCACTTTGGACTCAGCAGACATTTTGTATGTAAACAAATCCATAAGGTTAATAATTTTTAGAGCTTGGCAATTCAGTTTGTAAGGCCACTACAACAGGTTTTAAAAGGCAGCTCACAACAGTCACCAGTTACAGACTTTTTAACTAACTTTATCTAAGTCTAATTAACTGTTTCAGCCTTTCAGAGAAAGCTTTGAATAAGAGTCTAAAAAAACTGTAAATTTCGGCATTTTAAAACTACCACTATTTTAACTCCACCAAAGAAAGTGAGAGCCCATAGTGGACGTCCAGTCAACGGATGAGCTCTTTTCTTTTCTTGTCTTGCTTGTTATATAGGAGCTGTTTAGGAAGAGAAGAGGCCAAAATCATTGGTTTGCTTGGTATCCTAGGAACTGCTATCAGTAGTTTGTACTCGTATACACGTGATATTTACAGCCTTAGCTTAGACCTTGATACTCACAAACACCCTCTTTGGAAAATAAAAAATCACATTGCAGTCTTAATAATTTATGAAACCCATCTTTTCTTGCTATGCTAGAGATTGTGACTAGAGGTTCCTCCAGTTGGAAAACATTAGCTGGACCCAGTTTTGTTTTACCTGGACAGCTCTTTAAATAAATTTGTATTTCATCTTAAGGCAAGGAGCTAAAACAAATTAACTGTCCTGGGTTGTGAAACAATATGAGGAGGCAGCAAAGCTCCAAGTAGTGCCGCTTTTTATGTCCAAGATGAGGCAGCAGCCTTTTTTACATGCATTTGCTTGATATTCCATCAGGACACAACACATTGTCATCCATGAAGGTTATTGCCAATATGGTTGTATTATGTTGTCGCTGTGGATGTGGTCTGTCTGCTTAGGTGACAGGGTTGATGTGTTTCTTTGAAATGGGTCCCAGCCCTCTCAATCAATTTTTATTTTGTGTTTGTTTCTCCAGCTTGAGTTCTTTTTTTTTTCCTATTTATTGCAGAGAGCACATCTGTTGGACAACACAGAGAAGCTGGAAAGGTCATCACGGAGACTGGAGGCCGGCTACCAGATAGCAGTAGAAACTGGTACGTATTCTGTTATGGATTGGAAAAGGAGTGGGGCGGTGTTGGGTGGGGGGGTTCAAGATAGTGCTGAGGATGAGTGAGCGACAGCAAATTGTCTTGCTCATATGCGAGGTGGGTGGATGTGTGTGTGTGTGTGCGTGTATTTTTGGAGGGTGGAAGGAGGGGAGTCGGTGGGGGAAAAAAACCTCTTTCCTTGACGCCTGATGACATTTTCGGGAGCACATCAAAGGTGAGCCAGGGAGGGAGTGAGAGAAGTGTACAGGCGACAGATCGGGCACTGCTTCTCCTTGCTCTGCTCCTGAAGAAAATTCAAGCATCACTATGGCTCAGTGTGTATGTGTTTGTGTGTGTGTGTGTGTTATGTATGCATGTGCATTTGGTGGGTGGTGCTGTGCTTTTTTTTTTTTTCCTCCACAAACAGATAGGGGGTCTATGAAAATAAACAATGTCAGCATTCCTCCTGAAGTTCTTAATTCAGGAGCGTACAAGAAAGAAAATAAAAACATCACTTTCTAAATAAATCCTCTTAAAAACACACAAACCTTTTTTTTCCCTCATTATCAAGGATGGTTTTAATCTTAAAATAGGAAAAAATCTCATTGGGATCTTAAATAGATTTAACCAGTTAGCATATTTCTTTTTCCCCCCCCTCCCTGTCTTCCTTCCTGACAGTCACCACATTATTGAGGCGCAGTGTATTCCTCAGAGATATATCAAAGCTCATTCTTGAAGTATCAACCAGCTTTCTGTGGCTTCCGTTGTAGTTTTGAAAAAGTTTGTCAATTTACACTATAATCGCGGGGCGGCTGGTGTGCGCGACATCGACAGATTTAATAATTCAAGTCAAGGCAGGTTTGCACGGAGACCACTGGCTTTTGATGTTCCCTGTAACTTGCATTCACAAATTCCTAAATACAATCTGCATTCTCTGCCTAAAAATGTTGATTCAAATTTCCGAGATGATTCTGACGTTATTAGAGTTTCTCGATGGTGTCGAATTCTGCAACAGCCGGCGGATTTTTGTTCCGCCCTGCCGCAGCTTTCACAGTGACTCGTTTTGATGTTTTGCCTCACAGCTTGGTTGTTGGTGAAGAAGTGTATGGTGACTTAGCAGTGTTGAGCACCTCCTGTGTCCAGCGGTTTCTTCCGCTGTAGTCAGCCACATGCCCCTTGACCCTGTGTCACCAGTGGCTGTCTCATCCACTGTGCGTGCAGCTAGCTAAGAACAATGCCCGTTTATCCTGCCTCGGTCCCACACACGTGGCTCGGTCCACACCAGCTGTGGGGTATGTTTGTGGTTTGGTGGGGAAGCTTCGCCCCATGTCTTTAATCCATGACCCCTTCCTTTACTCTGCTGTCGATACCAGCCCTCCGCTCAGATGCACAACCTGAAATGGCGATGTCTCCAGGTCAGCTAGAGAATACATCTAAATAAGGAACGTAGATCCACTCGGCATATGCAGCTCTCTACCAGACTAATCTGCCAAGCTCTCAAATTTAATAAAAAGTGTTGGCATGAACATTAGGAAGCCAGATTTATCTACTCGGTTAATACAGTTTGACAGAGTTCACCATCTGATCCAAAGTTCTTTTATTTCTTTTTTCTTTTGGATTGTTCGCCCGTTTCAAATGATATATTTTCTCTTGTTGTCCTACTGTGATGCATTACAACGCTTCCCAGACATCTTCATATTATCTTGCACTATTTAGTCCATACTCCTGCCAGATTAGTGAGTCACACAGTACACTAAGGAAACTGGATTTGTGTTGAACTTGGTTACTTTTACAGCCCACCAAAGATTTCGTTTATTGTTGTTTGTTCTTTTTTCACATCATCAAGTACAAAACAAAATAAATATCCAAGTCCTGCAAGTACTAGGCTTTATTCATGAGTGTTATGAAATGCCATTGGCAGTTGTTGTGGAATAAGCTTTGTGTTTTCAAATGCAGGTGCGGCATCCATGGATATTTAACAAGAATAATTAGAGCATTAAGTGTTTCTCCAATCAGACATTCTCTAGTCATACTGTAAATGCTACTCTTGTCACACATCTCAACTCTTCTTAGACATCTAAGCCCTACTTTTTTGTTTTACCAAGAGCAGTTTAGCATCGTTATTTTGCAGTAATTCAAAGTTGCATTCTCCATCCACAATGACACAGTAGGCCTTAAGAACTACAATTGACCAATGGGGGAAGTGGAACTAAAAGACATTATATTTCAAAGAGATAGATCCTGAACAAAGAAATGGCGTAGAAACTCTTTGCCCCCTTTTCTCTTCACCGCCGACAATATCTCTCTTAATGACCAGGAACAAAAAAAACAGGATGCTTCTAGGTCACATTTAAGGAGAAAAAAGAAGACTCTTAGTTCTAAGAAAAGATGAATCTTGACACAGTATCATTTTATCATAGATATTTTAGTTTTTTCTTCTTCTATTCTCAGTGTCTCTAGTGTATTTTGTGAAACAAAGGCTTGCCAAAAGCAGTGAGAGCCCTCAGAGGGATATAGAGGAGACTCTTTGGGCATGCAGAGCTATTTACCACACGCACCCTCAAGAAACAGGGTTCTCTGTTTGTCTCATAAATAAAGTATAGAACTTCATTAGTGAAGAGCACTGACTTGAAAGCCCAGGCATAGAGACATGCAGACATGGAGGCTAGCCCAGTTAAAGAGGGCAGTAAATAAAAAGGGAGGGCATGCAGTTAGCCAATTTAAAGACATTTGAGTCAGGGGCATTTGAAATGCCCAAACGTGGAGGCTTGTCAAATTTTGGAGATGTTGTTAAATCAAAGACATGCTGGATTTTAGTCCTTCCCGCCAAAGCTGAAGATATTTTGAATGATTCATGATGCTTGTTTAAGAATGAAAATAGCATGTTGTGCAACATATCCATGTTGCAATGATTTGTTGCCTTACCTTTCTATTCATTAAAGGTTAGAGACTGATTAGCAGTTTCTGAAAAGATATGACTCTATAAAACATATATATATATATATATGTATATTTAAAAATACATTTTGCTTTACATAGTAAAATTTTAACTCTTAATTTAAAAACTGAAATATTAATTAGTGTTATCTCAGCAATTAAAATTATTTGATGGCGCTTTATTGCACTTTTGTGAGGATGTAAATAGTTTAAGGTTGAAATGTAGCCTTGTCATAGCAGAATTCATTTTGTTAGCATGTTTGTGTGTTGCAAAGGACCGCTAAGCGTAATTCTAAAGGTAATTTTATAATAGATACAAGTTTACTGTAAAAACAAACCAGAGGCAGTATTTAAAGTGTCCAGTTCAGTAAATCACGGATTAAATATTAAGGAAACTTACTTTGAAAATTCATCCCCCCTTATGCTTTTCACAAATACTTTAGCAATGCCAACAAAATGAGCCGCTGAAACAAAGACGAGCACAGACAAAAGCATTGCTGCTCTGCATTTTAAAGGTGGCCAGCAAGAGGCTGAGACACTTCTTCTTAGGTGAGTGTTCTTGGTGTTAGGAGCCTGTAATCAATCCTGCAAATGAAAACAGCTCATTAGGGATTGATTTCAGCCCCGTTTAGATAAGCAGAGAGGGTTGGGGTACGGCCCCCAGGGGCCCCAGCCTAGCCCAAAGTTCACGCCATGCCAGGTAGAGAGCAGCACTGCAGGCTATCAACTTTATTAGGATGGAGATAAGCTGATTAGACCTTGTCAATCAAAGGTGCCAGTGACTCAATCATGATCCAGGGGATTTTTCTTTCTTTCTCTCCCTTTTTGTCTCGCTTCCCACTCTCACACTCTCCCTCTCTTTTTTGTGATAAATCATTGAAGCGACCAACAAAGTGGCAGCCATCGCTGGGCTAAGCTAAGCAGCCCTGCAGTTGTCACCAAGGCAGACGTGTGAGGACCCTGTGATGATGTGACGACTATATTAAAGAGTACATCAATTTGTTTTAGAGCAGTTTGATTTTCAACTGCAGTGGTATTAAAAGAGGGGTGGGGGGGGCAAAAGAGGGGAGGGTGAGCACGTCGGCGTCATCGAACAGGATTCCAGTGGCAGAGCAAGGGGTGCTGGGACAGCGAGAAATAAATAGATAAATGACGGAGTGACGAGAAATAAATAAATATGTTTTTGTAAACATTAAAAAAAAAATCTTCATGGCTCTCGTTTGAAGCAGAGTGTGGCTTTGAGTCTTGCTGAGAGTCCATGGGTGCTGGAGTGGCCCAGTAACACAACACACATTTGTCCCGACTCTCTATCTCTCCCTCTCCATCTTTGTCTCTTTCTCTGTGTCTCTCCCGCTCGCTTTATTTCTCCCTGTTCCCTGTAAAGATCAGACTCGATGATTCTTTTGGTGCTGGGCCACCAAAGCGTCGCCTCAAATCCATAAGCAAACACTTAACAAATGACTTAGCCGGTTACGTTTATGAACACCAACTTTTATATTAAACAGAGGCTGTTGTTCTCCCTCAATACATTTTATTCAATTCTTTAACATTCAAAACATGCTGTTAATGTAGAATATTTTATTACATTTTTACTGATTTACACAAATAAAAATCCTACAAATAAATAGGTAATTAATCAGTATTTAAGTGGAATTAGTATTTTTGGAAATTGACAATTATTCTACAATTTTAATACATTTAAAGAGATTAGTTTGAAAATTTGGTTTGTTTGTTTTGCAAATGCAACCCAATTTTATACTTGAATTTTTTTGTATTAGTAAGTACTTTAATGATTTTTATATATATTTTTTAAAAAGCATAGTATATACACACATTAAATGCAATGTAAATCTTTTTCTTATTAGCATGTTGCTGAATCTTTTCTTACTTCTTATTTTAGTTTATTCTCTCTGTTCTGCAATGTAGTTTTAATATTTTAAGCATCTCTTTTTCATTTCTCTTTTTAAAAGGACACTTTGCTAAAGTGGATTTCCTTGAGGTATAGCATAGTAGATCACTTTTTTTGTAGGCCGATACAATCGGCATGTTGTATTGTGTTCAAAAAGAAT